ATCTCTGCCTTTCATTTTCTCTGTCTTTCATGTGCCTTCAGTATGGAGAAAAGTGCTTTTCCCTCTAGTGATAAAGCAATTCAGCCAGTGACACCTTAATGGTCCTTATTTTGTGCAACTGTTGTTTCAGGTGCCTGATTTTCTGTTTTGCTTTTCGCAGCATTTCTCTTGAGCTAAACATATGCTTTGCTGCCTGTGTGATTCCTAAAAACTAACATTCTCTGCTGAAGTAGCAGAAGCTGAAAAGGATATAAAGCAAAATGGAAGAACCGAGCCTTTTTTGCCCCTAACACTTTGCCTTCTGTACTGGGCAAAAGAGAGGGGCAACCCACCACTGCAAAGGGCTTGCTTCTGTGCCACTCATGTAGATGCCTTTGACCAAACATTCCCATGAGTTTTCTGGGGCTTCCTTTTTATGAGACATTTCTCAGATATGACTTGTTCTTTTCTTCTTTGTGTGAAAACGAGGCATTTCTGCTTTTCTTTTCATTCTCAGTCTGTGTCCCTAACCACCTGGCAGTGGCAGTCTTGACTTCTTTGTATACATAAGGTTTAATTGTTTTGTGAAGATTTCTCATAGTCACTGTGACAAGAAGTAATGTTGTCTCAGATTACTGCTGTGTTGGTTGTGTTGTGGTGGATTTGGATGTGTTAAGGCAACCAGTCCATTGGGTGGTTCAAAAAATGGTCGGTCCCCACTGCTTGCACTGAGGAGGTGTCCTGAAGACTCTCCCTGGTGGGTAACCTTTGCTGTCGATTGCAGGGGCTCCGGGACCAAAAGGGAGTCAAGGAGTTCCTGGGTCACCTGGACCTCCCGGACAGCCAGGCCCTCGTGGATCAATGGGACCTATGGGCCCATCTCCAGACATATCACATATTAAGCAGGGCAGACGGGGCCCCGTGGTCAGTATTCTCATGCATGGCACTCTTGGCAATAGCTCCACAACTTCTCACGACCTTGTGAACACTTTCTTTTTTCTTGCAGGGCCCACCGGGAGCCCCGGGGAGAGATGGTAGCAAGGTGAGGAGAGGTACTGCTTTCCATTACATGGGCACATGCACATGTGAAGGGCAGGCTTGACAGAGAGACCCTCTGCACACTTGCAGTCACACCCTTTTACCATCTCATTTACTCTGCTAAGCTGAAAACATCCTGTTGTCCCATCCCTTCATGTCTTCCTTCTGCTGTATTGCAGTTGCCATTCCTTGAGTCTTCCAAATAGCCCTTGCCGGGCTATCTTCCAGGCAGCCTCCTTTTCTTTCTCTGCAGCTCTCTTGGCTTTTCCGCGAAGAAAGTTTGATGCTTTAGACCGTTTCATTAGACTGCTCTTTTGTGAGATTCTCCTGTTAACTGGTTTGCTTGTTACTCTCTAGGAAAAATACCAGAAGTGCCCAAGTCTGGTCCCACTAGAATCAGCAGCGATTTCCTCATGTTCCTCCTTCACTTTCTTTTCTTTTTCTGAGCACACGTAAGCTGATGATTCTTGATCTGGGGACAGTAAGGGAGTCTGCAAAGGCAAACTGTGATTTTTTTTGTTTCCTTTAGTCACAGCAAACTAACTGAGGTGGTATTGATTACAGGGGGAGCGAGGCGCACCAGGACCAAAGGGGATACCTGTAAGTATTGCTCACAGGAGGAATTTCCACAAGAGTGATGTTGACTACTAACAACAGGTCAGCCAAAAGCAAAAAAAAAAAACAAAACCCCTCTTCTGTGTCAAGAGCACAGTAAAAGATAGTTTACATGCACAGAAAACGTTATTGGAAAGAAAGTAATTACCTGTTTTCATCGAAGTGGTTTTGCCTACACACCTCCTCCCTTGCTGGCTGTGACACTGAAGGCAGTAAGTGCATCTCTGCCCTACAACAGCGGTGGGACATCCTCACAAGGCAGTAGCATGAGATCCCATGCAGACTGCTAGCGGGAGCTGGATCCCTGGAACCTTTTAAAATCCTGCCCCTCATCTCTCTCTGGGATTTGGGAAGGTGTAGGCTTTGAGCAAGTCATCAGGAGGATGATTATTTGCAATTTGTTGTCAAGTGAAATTGATTTAAAAATTATTTCTTACGGTGTTTTCTCATTAGTGGAATGGCTTTTTTAAGAGTGTGTCCAGTAGGCTGTCCTCGGCATTAAACACTGTACTTTACTGTGTGAAGTCAGCTAAAATGAAATTATGATTTTCTAAAAACAGATAAAAACAGATGGATACTCTCTGCGTTGTAATTACCAATATATTTAGTAAGTGATGGACAGCAGTGGGATTACTATATTGAGAAGATATCTTCCAAATACCAGATTTCTTGAGAAATTTTTTAAAATACATAGTAGTTACTGATTGATTAGTCATTCTAAGACTGCAATTTCTATCAGTTTAACAAGAAGGGACACAAGGAACCAAGATTTCCCTCCTCTATTCCCATGAGGTGTCAAGATACTCTTAGGAGGCAGATACAGCAAAGGAATTGTTAAGTAGCAAAAGAGTTGATCATCTTGTAAATATAGGCTCCATTTGCAAAAAACATTTCGAAAATTGTTTTCTGAGCAGGTTGATTCAAAAATAGACGATTAATTTCTGGCAGTCAAAATGAAGCAGTTATTTACTCTTAGCCCTGCAAGAGTAATTATATCAACTTGTTTGAAAACTGTAGGAGCAAAGTGGAATATAACTAATGACCATGCCTTGTGACTGCAGGGCCCACCAGGTTCATTTGATTTCCTATTGCTGATGATGGCAGACATCAGAAACGACATCGCTGAGCTGCAAGAGAGAGTGTTTGGACACAGGACTCATTCATCAACAGAGGAGTTTCCATTACCTCAGGAATTTACAAACTATCACGACACAGTAGATTTTGGATCTGGAGAAGACTACAAACCACGGGGAGCGCCCAGAGACTCCAGGATACAGAAGGCAGCCCATCCTTAGCTACGCCTACTGAAAAATAGAGCCCCTTTAGAGTTCTTCAATATAAAAATGCACTGACAATGTAAAAAAAAATATATATATATAATTTTCTAGTTTTCTGTCTGCTTTTCCCCATCCATGCTGCCCGTACTGTAGCTTTACTGGTTCATGGTAGCCTCCTTGCAGTAATTCTATACCGTCAAGCCTGCACTGTGCATCATACCTAAACTCTAAAGAAAAACTTTTTAGTATATAATACAATTAAGGCACGCTCTAGCTAATGGTGCAGACCACAGCAATTCATCTGCCTACCTTGCATTCTGTGTCCAAATGACCCAGTGCCCAAATTTTACCAGGGGTAGAGGGGGAGCTGAACATCATCCCTGAATGACGTCAGTAATGAAAACTTTGGTCCACAGTTACTTTATACGTGTAAAGATATTATACCACTGAACTCAAGTTTCCAGCTACTGTCCCCTGGCTTCGGAGAGTGTGAAAAGTAGATCCCTGTTTCACGGCAGAGGCCAGCTGTAGGTGAAATGTATTTTTCTATTATGCCCCACCATGGCAGAAAAAGGCAAAAATAATACAGTGAAGCAGTAATACAAAGACGTTGCTTCTTGATCTGGAATATTTGGCTTTGTGTTGGTAGAGTATCGTTCAGAGAGAGTCGAAAAGATGTGTTTGTCCTAAACTAACACTACTTACTATTCTCCCACTGCTCAGTGTGAAGGCAGTTTCCTTCCTCAATGGATCCATTCTGGATCTATTACATAAAGATGAGGTACAGAACAGGGGATGTATAAAGCAGGAAAAGCAAGCATAAGTGAATCAAGTAGGCTCATTGGGAAGTATAAAATCAATCCCAGCCTTGCAGAAAGAGTCAGATTCTGACCTCCTGTAGGTGCACGTCTTCCTTGGTCAAATGCTGAAGTCCAAGTGAAATCAAGACCGGAGAGAGGCTTCATATTTGAAAAGAGATTCTATCTGTTTTGTTCTTCTGCTGCATGAGAGCAACCTAAATGGCATTCATGGATCTGGAACACAGAGCTGCAGTGTGTTTGGCTGGGTGTATGAGGAGTATGAGTAGGTGCAGGAGTGCACATGACAAAACATTTTCAACTGGTACGAGGATGGCTAACGTGAGGTGCTGCACACGGCATCCTGTATTTGTGAAGGGGATAAAAGGGAATGCCCTTTTTTTACACTGGAAAATTGGATGCACAAGTTAGACCATACCTCATGGATGACGTATGTTACCATTTCTTTCGGATTACCACAGCTGCTGAGGACTTTGCCATGCTTAGAAGATGAAGGAGTATATTAAGTACAAAGCTTCAATGTTGTATCTACGTAGCTGCTATGTCTACAGTATGTTTAGTGCTGGGTCATGTCCATGTTAACAAATGCAAAGAAAAACTTCTTCTTTTGCCATGTTTTTCAGGGCTTGGATGTTCTCCTAGAATAAATACAGGTGAAAATATAAGCAGGCCCTTTTCAGATAACCCATAAGGGTTTGGATTCCCTTCCATATTCTCTGGGCCAAAGATAGTTGGTGTAATCCCTACACCACCGGAACAGGTCATGTTGTATAAACAGCTGGCTGCCTAGACCTTTCGTATCCTTTGTGTATTATCTTAAGCGGATGTCCTGTAATTGTTTCCCAACTCCTCGCTATCACTATGCCACAAGCAAGGGCATTAGCTTTAAGAACATTAACGTTCTGTACTCCACCTTTTATGTATATCAGTATTTACAAACAAATGACCAAGTCACTGGGATAGCTCAGAAAAAATGCCAAGTGCTTTCACCCTGTGGTCTTTGGGCTTCTCCTCTGGGCGGAGCTCTGCCAGCAGCTGCAGATCCAAGTAGTCTTGTGAACTAGGTAACAGGGAAATCAGTGAGATTTGGGGAAGGAGCATGTGGCCAGAAGAGATACAGTCTTACATGCAGCAGGCTGAAAGAAACCTCTAAGACAGCATGAACTGAGGCATTTAGGTCTTTTTTGCTTAATTTCAAGCAGGCAACTAGGTATAAACAACATCATTCAAGAATATGCAATCTTAACGAAATTTGTTAATTTTCAAATGTTATATTTGTAACGCTTGCAAATTATGTAACTCTTGCATACGTTTACCACCACACCCCATCACCTGCTGGATCGGGTTGATTCCCACTACAGAATTAGCAGCTGCAGTTTTTTGGACCATCAGACACTGAATAATGAGTTAGATGAGTGACTTCCTACATACCAACTAAATTCTATTGCCCCAAGCCCACGAGAAGATGCATTCTAAAAAAGGCACTTATTTCAGTTCTAAGCTCTTCTTTTTCCAATGTAGACAAATACGAAATTAGAAGTTCCTACAGTTTGACCATCAAATTCAGGGACAGCTGACAATTTACCCTGCATACATTAGTATCCAGGGAAGAGAAATTCTGAGACTGGACCAGAAAAATAGATAAAATACATGTCTCACTGTAAGCTGTCCTACAGACTCATGAACATAAAATATGACACGTTTGTGTGCCTTACTGAATGGAAACCTCAGTAACTTCCCTTTCTGAAGTCTGCATCATTGATTTTCGCATCCTAGAGCTGCATTTCCAACAGATGTGCTTACTCCATAAAAAAGGTGAAGGAAAGTGCTCCTTGGGTTTGTCCTTGTGCTTCACAGGAGGGACTTTCCAGAGTCCCTGCCCCAAAGCTGTTGGCAGAGTCTCGGCAGCAAGGACAGGATGTGATGGTGAAGATAAGTCCGTTCAACATGACGCAGGAATTCCTGCAGCAGGGAAAAACCCTCTGAGCACAGCTGGCTGGGAAGGTTCAGCCTTCTGTCTGCGTCCGGCTAACTTCTTCGCATTGACCTTTCACATTTTTTTTCTGATTAATTGCATGATAACTCTCATAGCACATTGTATCAGAAATATTTCATTAAGATTTCTGGATAAACACGTACACTCAGATAGAAAAGTGACATTTTCTTCAGCATACCCAAAGTTTTATAAAGCCAGACCAGAGGAATCATTTCCAATTTTAGGCTTGGTTACCAGGGAGCCAGGGAAGTCATTATCTTATAAATTATTTATTACTCTGTGGCCCCAAAAGTAACAACACCCTACCCCCCTCAAGAATCCAAAATAAGAATGTAGAAACATCTACACTCGTGCCTCGTTGCATTACTAGGCTTATGCACACGACAACTTTGTTTCATATAAATATTATGTATAATTTTATTAGAAAGAAATATTATTTTGATGTTAAGACATCAAGTTATAAGCAGAGGGATAATACAGAGTTTGTTATTTTATTAATATTAGAAATATATTTAATGGAAACATTTGCAAGAGTGTGTAGTGATGGGAAAATGCTGGTTGTTAATGGGTTTAACAAAATCCTAAAGCTTGGAAAATGTTTTCTTTCAACACTGTGCCAAGTACATACAGGATTAGTCTTTCTTGCAAACCTAGAGTACTGACACAGATTAATTCCTATATAGTCAGGCTAAATCAGAAAAAGGAGAGGAAAATTGATTGTAAATGGAATTAATTTAATGCCTAGAGTTATTGTTGGGCTCACAGCTTGAGTAGGCTTCTTCCTAGAAGTATTTCACAGTTAATACACTAAGACCCAGAGAAGCAACAAAAGATGGGGATAGGGTCCAAGAATTTGTTAATTTCAAATTAAAATCCGTATGTTTGTTCCTATTACACATTCCAATAACTATACTGTTCACTTTATTTATGTAAGTATATGAAATACTAAAATGTGTATAAAATGATGGTGATTTTATGACGTATTCATAATAACAAAGATATTTTTTCTTACACTGTTGGTAGATGCTTTTGTTACACATCCTTTCTCCGAAATACAGAAACGTTGCCTGCAAGAGACAAGTAGCAGGACACCTCCTTACACTGCCTTGTAGCATTTTTCTTGCAGCAGAATTATACGCACTGCCAGGAGGGCTATGGGGGCACGACCTCTTGCAGAGTAGAGCAGGTTTCTGTCCTTGTGGAAATAAGGCTCGCACCCACCTCCACAATTAGGATGGTGGCTCCAGCGCCCCGTGAGGCAGTACCCAGCACCCTTACCCCATGGTGCCCGCATACACAGTGTCTGTGCAGCCTGGGGATGCAACCTGGGGGCCCGAGGCTCCTCAGACATCCCACCACCGGTACTGGGGGAAAAGGGAGACTTAAGTAAAGGCTCTGGCAGGCCTCGCCTGCCCATGGTGCCTGGCTGAGCCTCTCCCCGCAGCCCCAGGAGCACCTTGTGAGCCCGGTGTCCCACCACCCCGACCCAGCTGTGGGGCCAGGGGCAGCAGGGAGGCTGGACATGCTTCTTCCTCCCCTCAGAGCCCACCCTGCCTGCCCGCCTGCACGGCTTCGCTCGGGTGGGAGGG